AAAATTCATAACTTGAGTTCCGGACATTCGATTTGAATTATATTTGAAGCATTAGAAAGCTAAAGTCATGAAATTTGTTTTAAAAATGGTTCCATTACCTGGAATTGATTTAATTGGTATATGGTGATGTTTGATTAGAATTGTAGATTGTGGTTTGAGGAGAAGAGAAGGTTTGGGCTTACTTGATTATTGTCAAGATTTGTTTAATATCAGGCAGAATTCCAGTGTCTATGGCTCTTTACAGGATGTATGCTTCTGAATTGAATGAGTTTAAGAAACAAATAGAAAAGATGCTTGAGAAAAAGTTTTTCCGATTGAGTGTTTCTCCGTGGGGTGCTCCGGTGTTGTTAGTTATGAAAAAAGATGGGAGTATGAGATTGTGTGTACACTATAGACAGTTGAGTAAAGTGACGATTAAGCATAAATATCCACTACCGAGAATTGACGATTTGATGGATCAGTTAGTGGATGCATAAGTTTTCAGCAAGATTGATTTGAGATCGGGTTATCATCAGATTCAAGTTAAATCAGATGATATTTCAAAGGTAGCTTTTTGAACAAGGTATGGTCATTATGAGTAGATTGTGACGTTGTTTGATGTATCTAATGCGCCAGGTGTTTTCATGAAGTATATGAATAGAAATTTCCATTTCTACTTAGATAAGTTGTGGTGGTTTTTATTGGCGATATTCTGATATGTTCTCAGTCAGAAGAAAAGCATGTTGAGCATTTACGAATGGTGTTGCAAGTGTTGAAGGAAAATAAATTATATGCAAAATTGTCGAAGTGTGAATTTTGGCTAAAGGAAGTTAATTTTGTTTGTCATGTGATTTCTAGTGGTGGAATTATTGTGGATCCATCTAAAGTTGATGCAGCGTGGCAATGGGAGACTCTGAAGTATGCAACTGAGATTCGAAGCTTTCTTGGTTTGGAAGGTTACTATCTAAGGTTCAATGAAGGATTTTCTAAGTTGCCATTACCTTTAACTCAGTTGACTCGAAAGGGTCAACCTTATGGGATGTAGCGTGTGAAGGAAGTTTTATGGAACTAAAGAAGAAATTGACGACTACTCTGATATTAATTTTTCCAAATCCGAATGAATCTTTCATGGTGTACTGTGATGCGTCTAAAATGAGACTTGGTGGTGTGTTGATGCAAAATGGACAAATTGTTGCTTATGCTTCTAGGCAATTGAAAGCTCATGGGAGGAATTATCCTACGCATGACTTGGAACTAGAAGCTGTGGTGTTTATGTTGAAGATTTTAAGACATTATCTTTTTGGCTCTAAATTTGAGTCTGAAGTACTTGTTCGATCAGAAAGAATTGAATATGAGACAAAAAAGGTGGCTCGAACTTTTGAAAGATTGTGATTTTTATCTGAATTACCATCATGGTAAGGCAAATGTAGTAGCTTTGAGTAGAAAGTCCTTACATATGTCAATGCTTATAATGAAGGATTTAGAAATGATCAAGAAATTTAGAGATATGATCTTGGTGTGTGAAGAAACAGATAACATTGTGAAATTGGGAATGTTGACACTACCAGTGGTATCCTTGAAGAAATCCGAGAAGGCCAAAAATGTGATTTAGGCTTAGTAGATAGATTAACATTGATAAACCAAGGTAACGGTGGTGAATTCTGAGTAGATGAAAATGGTGTGATGAAGTTCGGTAATAGAGTATGTGTTCCAGATGTTCCAGAATTTAAGAAGAGTATTCTTGAGGAAGGGCATCGAAGTGACTTGAGAATTCATTTGGGTGCTATGAAAACGTATCAGGATTTGAAGAAGTTATTTTGGTGGCAGAGAATGAAAACAGAAATTGCAAAATTTGTGTATGCATGTTTGACTTTCCAGAAGTCCAAGATCGAACATCAGGACCCTACAGGTCTTATGCAACCTTTGATCATTCCAGAGTGGAAATGGGAAAATGTTTCCATAGATTTTGTGTCGGATTACCAAAGACGGAAAAAGGTAACGATTTAATTTGGATGATTGTAGATATATTGACTAAGTCGGATCATTTCTTACTGATGAAGATCAATTATCCTATGGAGAAACTAGTTGAGATGTACATTGGCGAAATTGTAAAGTTACACGGAATACCTTCGAGTATTGTGTTGGATAGGGATCTGAGGTTTACGTCGAAATTTTGGGGAGGATTGCAAAATGCTTTTGGTGTTAAGTTGAGGTTGAGTTATGCATATCATCCACAGACAGACGGTCAAACAAAGAGGATTATCCAGTCTTTGGAGGATTTGTTAAGGGCTTTGTGTGCTAGAACAAGGAGGTGCTTGGGATGGTCACTTGCCATTGATTGAGTTTACTTACAATAACAGATTCCATTCTAGTATTGGGATGGCACCGTATGAAGCCTTGTATGGTAGGATATGTATAACTCCATTATGTTGGTATGAGTCAGGAGAGAGTGATGTGCTCGAAACTGAGATTGTTCAAGAAACGAACGAAAAGAACAAAATGATCCAAGAGAGAATGAAAGCATCTCAGAGTCGTCAAAAGAGTTATCATGATAAGAGGATAAAAGCAATTGAATTTAAAAAGGATGATCATGTGTTTTTTAGGGTCACTCTGGTGAATGGCATTGGTAGAACTCCAGAGTCGAGAAAGCATACGCCACTTTTTGTTGGTCCATATCAAATATCTGAGAAGATATGTGATGTAGCTTATCGGATTACTTTATATCCGTCGCTTGAAAATCTTCATGATGTGTTTTATGTGTCCCAGTTGAGGAAGTATATTTCGGATTCTTCACATGTGATACAGATGGACGACGTATAGGTGAGAGATAACATGACTGTCGAAGCATTACCAGTGCAGATAGAAGGTCGCTAAGTGAAGCATTTGTTGGGTAAAGATATTTCCTTGGTAAAGGTACTGTGGGGTGGACCATTTGGCAGGAGTTTGACTTGAGAGCATGAGGATCAGATGTAAGAGTCGTCTCTGACTCTGTTTTCCTCAAGTAATTTTCGAGGGCAAAAATTCTTTAAGTGGGGAAAGTTGTAACACCCCAATTTCTACATTTATTTATTTAATTGATTTATTAAGAGTATTTGGGAATTTTGATGAATACACGGTGTTTTGTTAAGTATGATGCATGTTGTGATGGTATGTTGTGGGATAATGGGAGTTTAGATGAATAGAAGTATCTTAATAAATTTGATAATTAGTTAAAATTATTTAGAATTATTATTATTAAAATAAGGAAATGTGATATAGAGAAAATAAGGGCAAGGTATTAAAGTTATGTGGGTTAAGTGAGGGCATAGATGGAATAACAATATTAGGGGCCCTAATGTTAAACAAGGGAAAAGTGTGTTATTTTGTTTGGTACGACCATGAAAGAAATTGGGAGAAGAACAGAAATAAAGCTAGGACACGAAGGATTTGAAGAAATCATCGTAAGAACGCGAAGAGGAAAGTTGATCGCTAAGAATCTAAGGTAAGGGGGTGAACTGTCGTTATAATTAATATGGGGTTTAGGTAATGGTAGAATTATATTTGGGGTTTGTGAATGAGGGATGATAAACATGATGAATAATAGAATGATTTTGTGATAAATTAATGAATTTGTTGCCATGAAATATGTTTGGATGATGAGTATAATGTGTATACAACTTATGGAATAATGATTTACTATTTTGATTGAGAAAATTGGAGTTTTGGGGTAAAAAGAATGGATTTTTGTAACTTGAAAAATAGCAGGTTTTTGGCTCTGGTCACTATGTAATCGGGTACCATATATTGGGTACCCAGGTACCGCGTTGAAAAACAGATTTTATGGGAATTTTTACACAGTGTACCTGGGGTACCATATATGGTGTACCCGGTTACACAGTGAGGAAAATGAGAAAAATATAATTTTCAAAAGTTCATAACTTTTCAACCGTGAGTCCGTTTGATGCGCCGTTTGGACCTATGGAAAGCTAAAAATATTTTCTATCATATAAAAATACTTTTGAAACCAGTGAATAAGCATTGTTAGGACGAAAGTCCAGTGTTGGTTTAGGATGAAAGTCCAGTGTTGGTTTAGGGAGAAAGTTCAGTGTTGACCTTAATCCCATTGTGTGGATTGAGTGCGATTATGTTGTTCTCGGATTTCAAGAAGGAATCGATCCTATGGTGGGGATCTTTGGAGGGTGATGGCCCAATGTCTATCAAATGAATTGGTACCACATGCATGAGTCTATGTTGTTGCACTACGTCCTATGTGGCATTATATGATTATTGATTAAAGGGTTAAATGCACTTTACCCCCCTGCAATAGTAGCGAGTTTTGATTTACCCACCTTTTAAAAAAAATTATTTTCGCCCCTTAACAAATCTAAATATAGATTCCAAAACAAAAAACTTTTTAACCCAAGATTTCATTTGAGATGCAGACGTGACTTGTGACTGTTTGTTGACTGGGTAATTGTATGCCACATTGGCTTTTTTTAAATATTTTTTATATTTTATTTAATTGTATAAATTTTTTGCATTGTTAAAAAATATGCATCAAGTGGATTTTGAATCCTACACCCTCTACTTGCAAGCCAACACTCAACCATTGTACTATTTGTTTCAATTTGCATATTTATTAACAATATTTAATGATAGATTATATTATTACATTATTATATATATATATATATATATATATATATATATATATATATATATATATATATATATATATATATATATATATATATATATATATATATATATATATATATATATATATATATATATATATATATATATATATATATATATATATATAATAGTTTTAATATTTGTTATATATTTAACAGTATTATAACAACATGATTATTCTCTCTATATGTTCTATGATTTTTATGATTTTTATATAGTTGTTGTCAATGCATCTTTCCAAGCTTTGTATATAAAAGTTTAAGATTAGCTAAGATTCTTGCAAGGACAGGGAATCATGTTACAGAAAGTATTAAACACCAGAATAAATATGCTTCGCCGTGATTTTATTTTGGTGTTTGTGAGAAAGCATCATTTTTATCTAGTAGCTTTTTTTGTATAGCTAGAAATCCAACACCAAATAACATTGGTGTCACAATGCCAGCAATCGCTATGCTTGTACCTTTCTTCCTTAATCTTAAGATGGTGTCTGAATTCATTTCTAATCCACTTAGGAACACATAGTACATTATTCCCAAGTTTGCAAAGGTTTCAACGGCTAGGATTCCATGTTGACCGTAAAACAAGTTAAATATCCAATAGAAATTTCCAAAGAGAGTTGGACTCAGAGTAAAACCAGCCTGCATTATATAAAGTTCAGAAATCATTATACTTTTAACTCTCATGATGTCGGTGGATCTTTTTCTCCATCAACGGATAATTCTACTAGCTGAAAGATACCTTCTTAGGTTTATTATTTTCAACGTGAATATGGAAGGCTAAGAGGAAAAGAAAGAAAGAGCATGAAAATCATGGAATATATATATATATATATATATATATATATATATATATATATATATATATATATATATATATATATATATATATATATATATATATATATATATATATATATATATATATATATATATATATATATATATATACTACGCCAAAAAAGATCTACGAAAGCGTTTTTTTTTTGCCTTTAAAAGCGCTTAAAAGCGTTTTCTAAGGTGGCGCTGCTATAGGTTTTAGCAACGCTTTTTGTTTAATGAAAAGCGTTTTCGTAGGTCTACCTATGACAGCGCTTTTTCTAAAAAGCGCTCTCTTAAGTACCCTTTTGGCAGCGCTTTTTCTAAAAAGCGCTCTCTGAAGTATCCTTTTGGCAGCGCTTTTTCTGAAAAGCGCTCTCTTAAGTAGGCTTTTGGCAGCGCTTTTTTATGAAGAAGCGCTTTCATTGGTGGCGCTTTTTTCTATAAAAGAGCTTTCATAGGTTGTCTTTTAACAGCGCTTTTGCCTGTAAAAGCGCTGTCATATGTTTACCTTAGACAACGTTTTTTGTGAAAAAGCGCTTTCATAGGTTACTTAAGGCAGCGTTTTTCTTCAAAAAGCGCTTTCATAGGGTGTTTTTTTTTAGAGGTATAATTTATATAATTCATATACCTGCATTGTTTGCAGCATATTATTTATATAAACCAGTTGCCATAACCTGTAATTCATAAACCGCGGTAATGCATTGTATACCATTGTAATCCAATATATATATATATATATATATATATATATATATATATATATATATATATACATTGTATTTGTACCGCAAAATATATATAAACCATTGATATCAGCATTGTAACTCAAAATCAGTCTTACACAATCAACCCTAACAACAACTAAATCAGTCCTTATATGATTCTCTTCTCAATAAAATATTGACACAATTCCTCTTTGATTTCTTCCAACTGAAGTTTCGTGTAATATGCATATTTGTACTCATTGAAGTACTACATAACAAAACATAATATGCATGATTTAGTTAAAAGTAAAAAATTATATGAAATATCCGAGAAATAATAAAACAAATCCTAAGTTATAAATCCATACCGTGACTGGAATCTCTATTTGATTCAGTTGAATGATTTCTTTGATAAACCGCATAACGAAGTATCCGCAATCTATATCGTTTTGCTGTTGAGGACACTACATATAAAAACAAATAAGAATATATAGTTGTATTGTTTTATCAAATAGCATAAATATTATAAGCAAAATAGTGGAAATTAATATACATGCACTTTGATCCAATTAATGTTGTTTGATTTAGACCTTCGTACCCGAGCTTCTCTTTGACACCGGAATACTTGTATCGCTCTAACAAAATAAATATATATATTTAGAACAATGTCACAGAAATAATTAAATATATAAACACACACAAATATTTAGAATAATCTCACTTACGTATCAATCATTAACTTCATATCCGGATAATTTGTCCAATCACCGTCAACCGAATTCAGATAATAGACCACTTCTTTTATAGGATCGATGGCAACCAACAACCAGTGACGTCTATAAATTAAAACAACAGTTTAGAAGAAAATTTTCTACGCAAAAATTACAAATATTAAAATGAACTTAGAATGAAAATCTAACCCTGTAGGAATAGTATTATACGCCCAAAGATATAAGCTTTCTGTACTGCCAGTTGCCATGAATCTTTCGACTAAGTGCTCTCTTACTGATTACGGTTCCCTACCAATTGTCGCTCCACTGACACGGGAGGAAGACACGAAATGGAATATGTTTGACAATTGATTCTCGCGCATCAATTTGTCATATAACAGCCTTAAATAAAAACATAATTAATATTAGACTATATTCATTGAAATGTTTAAAAAAGATTTCAGCTAATTACATAATATAAAGATGGGGGTTACCGGATGTATGCGTGCATAATACTGATGCCCAATTCTTTATGACGGAAAGTCTGTTCCACGTCCTCATGTCCAATTATTTCGGTGCAAGGAAAACCAAAGATACCTTGATCCATATCCATTTGATGAATACCACCATCCATCAAATCTGTTGTTCCCACTATTGTTTCAAGACACTGCCGGTATCGAGGGAAAAATCTAGTAGGCACCCTTTTCTTGGGTGGTACACCAACGATCTTCTGGATCACTTGTTGTGACCCTTGAAAAGGTACCTAAAAATCATATAGACTCAGTTAAATTATAAAATTATGCAGTTTTTTATTCGGATCATATAATTAACACTTTAAACGTACCTCTTTTTGTGATACATCAGACTCGTCGTGCCTCAAAATCCCTTTACCCTTAGATGCGGGTGTTGTAGGAGTCTATAATTACCGTGGAAATAACTGAGGTCAGAACTGACAGTTGAATACTTAAAGATTCATAATTGTTTTCAACATACCTGATCATCTATGAAAATGAGGTCCGATGGCCATGCAACAAAAGATCCTATTGCATCTCGCAGCAATGTGGTCTCAGCAACAATGTCGGGTACTGGCAGCAACGCATCCATATCTAAAGCAATGTCAACCGATACTTTCATGTGTCCATCCGGAAGCGGTCTATGGTGAAGTAAATCTCCCGAAGTGTTATGGACTTTTCCCTTGCCAACTAGTCGATAAGTCGGCGACGATAGGTATAGCTGGCAAGATGAAATGCCCTAAACCAATAATAACGGTTAGAAGTGACTAAAAATATTCTATAGTAATAACGGATATATATTGAAAATTACCTCGGGAAATTTATGCTGACAGTTGATACTAGCTTTGTCACTAGTTTCTTTCAATTGTGAACTGCTCTTTTCCGCCATATATCTCTCTTTATCCTTCTGCAATTCACGGACATGAACTTGTAAATCCTGCAATGTTTGCATCACTTCTGCATTGCTAGGATTTCTTCTCCTTGGATGCTTATACAAAGAGGTTGGAGTCACACCATGACCTTTACCCCTCACCCGACCCGGATACTCAGCAATATTTAGTGCTCGACTAAGTACGCTCCTGGTATCCTGATGATCCTCACTTGGGGATACCGATTGCGACAAGGTCTCCTGTAATTCATTTACATATCGAAAATTATTAGTGGAGATAAAAAAGTATATAAATATTAATAAACATTAATTGATTTAACTAAAAACACAATCTTATACTTACACATTCATCATACACATGTTGAATATCAGGATTAACAGCTTGATCCTTGCCCACACGGGCTTCCTTCCACAACAAATGTGCCGGTAGTGATGTTGCGTCACTTTTCGTCTCTTCTAACTACGCATTGACACAAGTCTTAAGATCATCAATTATAACACATTGAGAGAATTAGTAAGATCGTAGAGTTTATATTTACTTACAATTTTTTCCTCTAAGCGAGCATATCCCAAACGCCCTTTTTTGTATGGATATGCGGGTTTTGATGCTCTCTCGTGATTGATAGCACTCGCTTTCTTGAAATTCTCGTCTCTTCTTTGGCCTACAAAACCAACCCATTCTTCAGGTGTAATGAAGTTCTCATATTTCTTTGGACGTTCCGGATCCTCTTCAAGAAAATTTCCTTCATCATCTTTAAGATACTTGTTTGTTAAAAATGTTCTCCACCCTCTGTGTCTTTTTCCAACCAAACCCATTATATACTTTTTACGGGTATCTTCAATGTTAAAAGACCTCTACAAAAAAACATACGCATAAAGTGTGTTAGTAAAAGAAATTTAAACACATATTATCGTCAAGATAAATCAAATAACAAAAACCATATATGTACTTTTATCTCAGTCCAAACTTTCTCCTTAGCCTCATCCAACTCTCCTCTTTTCCATCTAGGGGTGGTGATCGGAATGTGTATACGAACAAGCGTACCAATGTAGCTTGTCAACTTTGCAGCATTAGACCCAATTATTTGGTCATTATCATTCCAATCTACATTATATGTTACTCCTTTATCTCTATCACGGATGATTCCCCTCATAATAGTTATACCTCGTGTAATATCTTTTTCTGAAGTCTTTTCTGAAGTATTTTCTGGAGTATTTTCAGGAGCATTTTTAGGAGCATTTGCATCTTTTGAGTGTTCTTGATTACTAGCCATTTGACCTGTAATAATGAAAAAAATAAAAACAAAATGACAAATATAAAAATGAAATGGCAAATAAAAATGAAATGACAAATAAAAATGAAATGACAAATATAAAAATGAAATGACAAATAAAAATGAAATGACAAATTAAATTTTATTGAATGATATAGGCTATAATTATATATACTATTACCCTTTTCACTAAGGTCTCTTTCTTTTCTTGGTAGGAATGTGTTCTACTCGTCTCTTAACAACGCGGACAGTTGGATTGATCCAAATACCCTCATTATGATCGTTTCTAATACATGATTCATTATCATTTTGATCAGTTATGGTTAAAGATTCAATGTCAACACCAATATCACTTTAATCTCCAATGCTTTCATCAATTACTTTGTTAGATAATAGCACTATAGACCATTTCGTACTTGTCGGATCATTGACATAGAACACTTGTTTAGCTTGAGAGGCTAGAATGAAAGGCTCATCTTTGTACCCCACCCTATTAAGATCCACTTGCAAAAAACCTGACTTATTCATTCGTATGCCATTATTATTTTCAACCCACTTGCAACCAAATATAGGAATCTGAAAATTCTTGTAATCAAACATCCAAATGCGCTCGATAACCCCAAAATATGACAGATTTGCAAATTTTGGGTTTAAGTCCTTCACACTTGATATATGCATTGCTTCAGCGATCAAGGTGACACCACTATTTTGCATAGTACTTTTGTCATCATGTTCTTTGGTATAAAATGTGTATCCATTAATTGCATATGCGCTAT